TCTCTGAAGTATGCATTTTCAACAAGCCAGCATCAAAAGTTATGTCACTTGGTGAAGTTGAGATTTTTGATTTCTGAAGTGCTTATCTCACTGAAATAAGCATCTTAGTGAAAACAGCATCAAAAATTATGCCATTTGGTGAAGTTGAGATTTCGATCTTCTGAAGTGCTTATCTCTACGAAATAAGCATCTGATACAAACCAACATCAAAAACTAGCTGATTTGGTGAAGTTCATATATTGCTCTTCTGAAGTGCTTATCTGAATGAAATAAGCATGTTAGTCAAACCACCATCAAAACTTGAGTCATTTGGTGAAGTTCAGATTTTATGCTTCTGAAGTGCTTAACTTCCTGAATTAAGCATTTTCAACAAGCCAACATCAAAAGTTAGGTCATTTGGTGAAGTTGAGATTTTTGATTTCTGAAGTGCTTATCTCGCTGAAATACGCATTTTAAACAGGCAAGCATCAAATGTTAGGTCATTTGGTGAAGTTAAGGTTTTTGATTTCTGAAGTGCTTATCTCACTGAAATAAGCATGTTATTTAAAACAGCATCAAAAATTGTGCCATTTGGTGAAGTTGACATTTTGAACTTCTGAAGTGCTTATCTCAACGAAATAAGCATCTGATTCAAACCAACATCAAAAACTAGCTCATTTGGTGAAGTTGATATATTGGTCTTCTGAAGAGCTAATCTCAATGAAATAATCATGTTAGTGAAAACAGCATCAAAAATTAAGTCATTTGGTGAAGTTGAGATTATTGACTTCTGAAGTGCTTCTCTCTCTGAAATACGCATTTTAAACAAGCTAGCGTCAACAGTTAGGTAATTTGGTGAAGTTGAGGTTTTTGACTTCTGATGTGCTTACCTGACTGAAATAAACATCTTAGTCAAACCACCATCAAAACTTGAGTCATTTGGTGAAATTCAGGTTTTAGTCTTCTGAAGTGCTTCACTCCCTGAAATAAGCAATTTAAACAATTCAGCATCAATAGTTAGATCATTTGGTCAAGTTGAGATTTTTGATTACTGAAGTGCTTATCTCACTGATATGAGCATCTTAGTCAAAACTGCATCAAAAATTGTGCCATTTGATGAAGTTGAGATTTTGATCATCTGATGTGCTTATCTCTCTGAAAAAAGCATTTTTAGCAAGCAAGCATCAAAAGTTAGATCATTTGGTGAAGTTAATGATTTTGCTTTCTGAAGTGCTTATCTCACTGAAATAAGCATATCAGTCAAACCACAATCAAAAATTGTGCCATTTGGTGAAGTTGAGATTGTGATCTTCTGATGTGCTTATCTCTCTGAAATAAGCATTTTCAACAAGCTAGCATCAAAAGTTAGGTCATTTGTTGAAGTTGAGATTTTTGATCTTCTGAAGTGCTTATCTCACTGAAATAAGCATGTTCGTGAAAACAGCATCAAAAATTTAGTCATTTGGCTCAGTTGAGATTATTGACTTCTGAAGTTCTTCTCTCTCTGAAATCATCATTTTAAACAAACCAGCATCAAAAGTTAGGTCATTTGGTGAAGTTGAGGTTTTTGATTTCTGAAGTGCTTATCTCACTGAAATAAGCATGTTATGAAAACAGCATCTAAAATTGTGCCGTTTGGTGAAGTTGAGACTTTGATCTTCTGAAGTGCTTATCCCAACGAAATAAGCTTCTGATTCAAACCAACATCAAAAACTAGCTCATTTGGTGAAGTTGATATATTGGTCTTCTGAAGAGCTAATCTGAATGAAATAATCATGTTAGTCAAACCACCATCAAAACTTGAGTCATTTGGTGAAGTTCAGACTTGAGTCTTCTGAAGTGCTTACCTTCCTGAAATAAGCATTTTCAACAAGCCAGCATGAAAAGTTAGGTCATTTGGTGAAGTTGAGATTTTTGATTTCTGAAGTGCTTATCTCAATGAAATAAGAATGTTAGTGAAAACAACATCAAAAATTGTGCCATTAGGTGAAGTTGAGACTCTGATCTTCTGAAGTGCTTCTCTCCTGAAATAAGCATTTTCAACGAGCCAGCATCAAAAGTCAGGTCATTGGGTGATTTGAGATTTTTGATTTCTGAAGTTGTTATCTCAGTGAAATAAGCATTTTCATGAAAACAGCATCAAAAATTAAGTCATTTGGTGAAGTTGATATATTGGTCTTCTGAAGTGCTCAGCTGAATGAAATAAGCATGATAGTGAAAACAGCATCAAACATTAAGTCATTTGGTGAAGGTGAGATTATTGACTTCTGAAGTGCTTC